TGCCGCCGGGCCTGTATCCCCAGCGGCCGCAAGGCAGCAGCGGGACTCCTGGGCCCTCTGCCCCGCTCTTCCCGGCGTGGGGAGGCAGCGCGGCTCCCCGTAGACACCCGCGACGCCGGGTCTGGGGGTGTAGCGTTACCATGGTGTGGGCCATTTTTTTTGTCTGGTTTCTTGAAGAGCAATGTAAATTTAACTGGCACATGGAAGAGCAGGCCCTGTGACTATAGCTTGAGGTGGGCACGGTGCCTGCTAGTCCCCCTGAGACACACGGGCAGGCCGGGGGGAATCGGTGCCGCTGCCGTCCAGATATCCAAGTGTGAACAGGCTGGGCCACGCTCCGGCCACGCTTGTGTGGAGATGGGTGCAAGCAGAAGGAATTGCCAGCGTGCCCGAATGCGCTTAACAGCATTGTGCACTTGTGGCTACCTTCGGTAGCGTGAGCGACAGCGAAATTGATACGCCTGGTGTGTTTTATATACGTGGTGTGCAACACCTGGCAAAGAGGTAGGAGAGAGATAATGTGAAAATTAATAAAATTTGCCTAGAAAACACATTGATTTGTTACTTCTCTCTGTCAGAGTGCTGGTGTGACACTTGGTGCCTGAGGGACATAGCTAATCACGTGCTTTCAGAAACACTGCTTACATTTCACATCGTGCACATAGGGGGTTTGTTCCCGTTGCTGCTGGCGCGGTTTGGGCTGTTTGGGAAGCAGGGATAAAGAAGTTGAAGATCAGTCTGTTTTCTGTTCATGCTCCTACTTGCATGTACATGGTGGCTCCAGGTTCTAATCCTGCGACACACTGATGTCATAGAAGACAGCTGTGATGTCAGTGCTGACGTAGGGCATCTCTGGCTAAAGCAGAAGGGACGAGATTTTAATATTGATAGTGCTTTTGTTAAATACAATACTGAATTGCTTCTGTTCATGTCTGTGTGTTATTGTAACTGCAAAAACTAGTTTTTCAATTTATTTTTTGAAATCTAAATCAATCTGGCTGTTTTGCTCTTGATGCATATTTTAAATTTTATGCTGCCCTACTGTGTGATTTATTTAAGAAGGAAGCAGCAGTTAAGAAGTAAAAAATGGTATCGACTCCCTTCTGTCGGGGCTTGGAAACCCATGTTGTCTTTCTCAAAGCATCATGTTATTAGACTCCCCACTTCCGTTGACTCAAGGGCAACAGTATTTATGCCTTTTTTTAAAGGGAGACCTTTTTCTATCAACATCCTATTTTGCTCTTTCTATCCCCCTTTCACTTTCCTGTAGCCACACGCAGCAGTGCAAGGTCCCACAGCCTGCGAAGCAGTGAGTGGGGCAAGGGGAAACATTCCAGATTCAGCTTATGGCCACTGCTTTTGGGTTGTTGAGGACTATGCTAAACACTATTAATAAAACTCCAATTCTCTGTGAAATATTTTATATCCTAATTTTGCAAGGGGTGTGTAAAAATGGTGTCTCTGAAAGCGGTCAGTTTTGTGTTACTGGTAGCAGTTCGTGAGTAGTCATTTCTGCCTTTTGCTTCTATTTCAATCCATGTTATTTACTGCTCGGTCACACAACTGCAGAGAAAAGTAATCACAACTGCAGAGAAAAGTAATAAACACAGTTTTTAAAATGTGACCTTGAAATTATTAAGTTGGGTAGGAAATTTGAAGAAAGACGTAGTACCTCAAAATGCTCTTTATCTCCTTAAAAAAACCTAAATGGCCTACATCTCACATTAGTGTCTCTATATCACAATATAAAAAATAATTCTAAACAACCCAAAAAGATATTCCTACTTATCTTTTTAAGGACTATTAAACATCTGGGTGAGTTGCTGAGAATTGGTATAAATACACATTTTTAATCTAGTAAGGTAAAACAAGGAACCGTTTGGGTATGCAAAGAAACACTGAGGCTTGAGCAGGATTAGATTGTGTGAAAGGTTGGCTCCAAACTTGGAATATAGATCCATCAGTTTAATAGACTGCAGGTGCATTAGCTTGGTGTAATGATTCTTTGGGAAGAAGTAGTTTATCTGAAAGTCTGGGGCTAGCGGTAAGGTATTTTAAAGGATGGCAAATACAACTTAGAGGTAAATAGATTCGAATTCTGAGCAGATGTTAATTATTCAAATGTCTGAATGTGTTGGTTTCTTTTTTTTTTTTCCCTGTTCTAGTCCAAGAAGAAAGGTCTGAGCTTTGAGGAGAAGAGAGTTCGCATGATGGAGATCTTTTTTGAAACAGTAAGTAACTTGTAATTGTCTTGCATTCACATCGGTGGGAAAACAGGTCCTAAAAGGAGCTTAACTGTAGATGTAGATGAACTCTGTATATCCCGCTATGCATTTCACTGATGCCCTGTGTCATCAATGTATAAATTACAGGGACAGAGCTTGATTCATGTAGCTTCTGATCAGGTGGCTCGTCCCCAGGTGGAGCTAAGGCCTGAAGTGCACAGGTGGTGTTAAATGCTTCATCTGCTCCCTGTTCAAATCTTGTCATTTTGAGTCTGTTACTGTAGGAGGGATAGCAAGAGGTTAGGAAGTATCTCACTGACGTTTATGGGAGGAGGAAGAAATCTGAGCGTTAGAAAAGATGAGAGCAGACCTGGAAGAGGTCACTGGGGAGAAGAAACCTGGAGATCCAAAAGCAGAGCTACAATTATATTGGTGACATACGTAATTCACAGTGTTTCACCTATTAAAAAAATTATTGTGGCATTTGAGTACTTCAGCAATGTAGTGCATCTGGTGCTGACAATCTAACCTTGGCTCTGTCTGCCCTAAGGGGTTTACAGTGTAACTTCAGGCAAAATACGGTGACTTTAGAGTACCGAAGAAAAGAACAGGGCTTGTTACAGTCATAGTCTTTTTTTTTTTTTTTTTTTTTTTGTACTTCTCAGAATGTTCTAATTCTATTGAGGGATATGCAGCCTATTTCCCTAGCAAAACATAAACAAGCAATGTATTACCTACTTGCTTTTGTTGGCATTGATTTAGTGTAAAAACCACTCAGGCTTAGATGATGCTGTCATTTGGAGCTAAAGTGTCTTTTATGTTTTGCACAGAAAGATGTGTTCCAGTTGAAGGATATAGAGAAGATTGCTCCAAAAGAAAAGGGGATTAGTAAGTGTTTACAAAAGTTATTTCTCTTGAGCCATTAATCATTTTTGGGACAGGTCATACAGTATAGATTTTCCTGGCTACAATTTTAGGTTTGTGACTGTAATAATAATGGAAAAAATAGCTAGAAAGGGAGACGGGTCAATGGCAGAGCTGTAGCGTTAGAAGTGGTATCAACAGCATACTCCTACCTTGGTTTGCTAATGTTTGTCACTTATGTTAGGGCCAAAATGGGAGATCATTAAAATGTCACAGCTAACTCCAAGTTAACCACTAAAACGTAGGATGGGGTTTTTCCTAGGCTCCGAGATGCCTGACTTGCAGTGACTTTCAGTCTACGAAATTGTTATGTGTACTTGTGTAGTGAACAGAGGAGTCGAGTGTCTGTCTGTAATGTCACAAATATCTTAAAATGCTAGTCCAGATGTACACGGTCGATGTTCTGTTGAGCTTTTTCCCCCCAAAAAATGGCTGGACAGCTGTAAATGGAAGGCGTTTGTCTTTTCAATGAAAGCCTTTCTGATGAGATCCATGTCATCCATTTAGGATTAGGTCCAAGAGGATTTATCTTACGCTGTTGAGTTGTTTTATGTGTTCCTCATTCTGCTTCCTTCTATGTTCATTGACAAAAGGGGGAAGAAGCGTAATGTTTGTGTGGTTGCCACTGTCCTTGACTAGCATATCTTTGTGGCACTGCAAGAGTAAATGAACTTGCTGAAGGAACTGCAGACATAGGTGAATATCGCAAAGCAGTGTTTTTCAGTTATGTCAGCAGCTAACAGAGGTACTCATAGGCCTCTGAAGAGATGTGATGCTGTCTTGATTGGTTTGTCAATGCATATGTTTAATTGCAATTTGCAGGAAGAGGATGCAAAACAGTAAATACAAGCAATGGAATTTCATATTTAAAAATCTGGAGTGTAAAGTTTCTAAAACCATTAACACCTTTGAATAGTCCAAATTCATCCTGCCTCTGAATATGAAGGCATTTAGCCACACAACCCAAGCCCCAGTTACTCTGAAAAGAAAAACGTCTAGCCTGTGGAAGCACCCCCATACTGACATCCAGCCTATAGCTTCCAAAAGATTGGATGTTCCTGATCTGGGATCCCCTTAGACTTGAAATTGAAAGTGAGGCACTGAAAACCATTAATTAGCTCAAAAGTCTATATCTGCAACACGTGAGGATAATAACAACTACTTTGCTTTGTTGAACAGGTATCATTTTTAAAATGGTGAATTATACCACACATTTGCTAGAAAGTGAGCAATTATGTTCAGAAATGTTTTGGATCCTTCTGACTGCAGATGACTTTCTGTATTGGAACTGAACATAATCAAATGTAAAATCTGCCCCTCCTGAGTCTGTAGACAGATGGCTTTAGTGCCTTTGCTGCTCTTTAATGCTTTGATAAGCATTACAAAGTGAAATGTAATTACACTCTTAATCAAGAAATTATAAGTTAATCCATGTTAGAATTAAGATTGCAAGACAACTTCTCAAGTACCCTCTCATGAGTTTGTTCTGCTGTTGTAGTGTAATATGCATGCATGTTTTATGATACTCATGAGTGGTGTTTCACAAACATCTGGTAGCAGACTGTATAGAATAGCAGCCTTTATGTATAAACTGCTGATTTTGAAGGGATTCATTCCTTCAAGTGAAGCATCAGGCATGGTGTCCTCTTGAAATTGTCCAGCTAGCTGACATTATAGTAAAATATTTTACAGGTGATTATAGATGATGACTTATGGTATTCATCATTCTCCACAGTTTAGATGCTATGCAGTTCTAATTTGATATTTTTGCTTTTATTAGCCTCTATGTCAGTGAAAGAGATTCTGCAGAGCTTAGTTGATGATGGCATGGTGGACACTGATAGAATTGGAACTTCCAATTATTTCTGGGCTTTTCCAAGTAAAGCTCTTCATGCCAGGAAGCGTAAATTGGAAGAATTGGAGTCTCAGGTAAATCTATTTTAGGGAAAGTACTTTTCTACCTGAATGGGTTTGCTTTTTCCTTATACCCTCTTGTTATTCTTTTTCATATTGTGCTCTTTCACGTGTGCATGTGTGCGTGTGCACACACACACACAGATTTTACTATAGGAATCATCTGGCATGCGTGGTATGACATTCTTTCTCATTATCTTGCTATCACTTCAGAAAAGTTTTGGAGGTTGTTCTTGCTGGAGCTTGAGAAGACTTCTTGTCTACTTGCTGATGTTATTCATGATGCAAAACATCATTTAAGGACTTCCTCTAAATATTTAGGTAGCATATGCTTTTATGCGTCTGTTTTATAATGTAGGCCATCATGTGGTAATGATCTAAAAGCCACGAGAGGACTGAAATGGATATCCCAAGTAAATGTGGCAATGGTTTCTACTTATGGCCATTGTGCTTTCCTGTCTGCTTTTATCGGTACCTTAATTTGTGAGCGCTTGTGTAATCCCACATTACACTTTTATTAGGAGAGAAGAGCAGATTGGTCGTGATCTTCTGCAGAAGAGCAAGGCATCTTTTGTTGCAACACTGATGTTCTATTGATCTGGTTCTTTCCTACTTTTTAGGAACTGTCTTTCTTGTTTCTTTTAATTGGAGTGGGAAAGCATCTATTCATCAGTTTATTTGCAACTGGAGTACATGGTAACAAGATCAATAAACTAGCTTTGTGGTCTGATTGCACCACAGCACTGCCAACTTTTCCCATGCTTATTTAGCATTATGTCCATTCATCAAAGAATCATTTGAATTAATGCAAAATTATTTTTACAGACATTCTTTTCTTCAGGCATAGCTCTGGTGTCATCGTTGCTATCTTATGTACATACAGCATCGTCAACTTCAGCTACTTCTTTAAAGCTCCAAATTAATTGTATAAAAACATGCTTTTTTCCCCAACATGAATTGAAAAAGCAGTTTGTTAATCTGAACACTTTTCACCAAAGCAGATTAAATAGCCTGATCAATGCAGTTGAAATTGCTTGTTTATGCATAGAGTGTAGTGTGACTAGCTGAGAGGTAACCTTGTCAGTTATCCCTTGCTATGCTGTCGTTGCTTGTAAATCTCAGTCATTACTAAACTGAGAGTCCAGTCCACTGTTCTGTTTTAACCAACAAAAGATCATTTCCCTTTGCCCCGAAAGGGCAGTTTTCATTACTGGCCTGGCTGTTCCAGATAGCTGTCCGAAGGCGTTTTGTGTGTCTGCTTGTGTGGATCTGGCAGAGGGAGGAGAGTACTGGTACTCTGTCACATGCCTGATGCGTCTGCTGCAGTTTTCAAGATCAAGAGTAAGACTTGCTAGAACTTTCACTTCCTTTCTCCTTATTCACTAATTCATGTTCCTTTTATGAGCCAGTGATACATTCAGGGGTCTGTGGCGGTAAGGAGGAAGTACTGCAGTCCTTCCCATCATTAACTGGAACTGTGTATTGACAACCTTTCAGGCAGGTGCTTTGGATGAGTTGGAAAGTGCCACTTGAGATAGCTCTTGTGGTACAGTATGGGTCATCAAAATTATTGACTCTTTAATTTTAGGTTCTGCCGCTGACTTGCTCTATGTTTTGAGTAACTGTCTTAGCATGTCAGATGACCTATTAGTATCATGAATATAAACTGTACCTTGTGTGTGCTGGGACTTGGTTAATATTAAGTTGTCCCACTGACAATTTTGTTTGCTCCTTTACTGTCTTTGTTTTCAGAACTCAAATGAGTCCGGTCATTAAAAACTTCCTCAATTTAGCTGGATACGCTTGTACTATTTTCAGGCATGGACTTAGAGTCTGGCATGACTGGGCTTAAATTCATTTTTATTGACTTGTAGTAACAATGCACTGATTCTTACTCCAGTGAAGTTTTGTTTGTCTGGAACAGGAGATCAGTTTAACTCTGCACTGACTTGGAACTGAGTTTCCTAGTAAAGTTACTCAACTTATTAGTATATTCACGCAAGTTTTAGACCAGGCTACTTGCTCTGCCAGAACATAAATGCCAACTGAGCAATTGAACAAATACATGCCAAAACTCCTGCTTTGTTCACCAAACACCCTGGTGCCACTGTCTTGTTGAATGCAAATGATTTGCTCTCGGATACTTTCTATTTTTGCTCATGCTGCATATTATAGCCAAGTAGTTGAATGAAGGAGTTGATATTTGTTGTCTTTGCCCTTGGGCTCAGTCCCATCATGAATTTTAAAGATAATTGATCAAGCAGGTCTCTGGCATACCCTGATGAGTATCTTCCTTGGAATGTCTTGCAGAATCTGCCTAATGTGCTCCACCATAAGTATCCAGGGGTTATCTACAAACATATGCTGTACTGCTTTAAATGTACTGTTACATTATTAAACATAAACCCATCTCTTATGGAATTGTAATAAGCATGCAGTTATTGTATTGTAATGTTATTTTATGGTTATTTCTGTGTAGGAAATAAACTATGCTGATATAAACAGTTTTGCAATATAAAACTGTTCCAGTTGAAAGAAATAGTTTTGTTGCCAGACCCTTATTTGCAAACCAAGTCCTGCTCCTAACATATGGGCTTACTGATGTAAGAGCTCTCTTTAGACCATGTTATGAGTCCTTAAAAATACTTATATTCATTACCTTGCTTTTCTGATGAGAATGGAAATGTTTCAGCATTTCAGGGAAAAACATTTTCACTAGCTGAAAATAACTTCTCTGTTGACGCAGTGGAAAGGTGGCATTTTCAATGAATAGCGCTCTGAACATTTTTACAAGATGATAACAGATTCTGTCTGTGAGTTCAAATTAGCTATTTTAGTGTTTGCGTTCTTCTTGATGTGAACACATACAGATTTTCTTAAGCGTTTCTAAATCCGGTCACTGAGTATCACAAAACTTGTCAGAACATGCAAAGCAGAGAAAAAAAGTAAGCCATTGTACCATTTCTGTTGCACGTTGCCTGTCTTTGATCATTCCTGTATACAGCTTGTGGCATGCTGAGAGACATGTTTTCTTTCTGTGTCTTGTCCAGATCGCTTGTTAACTATATTAATTGGTCTCTTTCTTCAGCAGTTAAAAGCCAGAATCAAGCCGCCTTACTTAAAGCAAAAGTTTAAAAATCTAGCAGTTCAGTTCATATTGCAATTAAAGCTTTTTACCAGGAGGCAATATCTTTGTTTGCCAAGGGCGTGGGTAAGTAGTGAAGGGAAAGGGGTGACCCCAAATGCTGAGCTGAGGCATTTGAAAATAATGGGGAGGAAGAGAACAAGCTTTTCCATGATGCAAATTCTTCTATTAATTCATAGCACTGAGGCTTACGTTTGACAGGTTGGGCCTACTACAGGACCTTTTGCCTGCATACGTTGGTACTTAATAATGTTTTAGCGAAGTTGCTTTTAGCTCTCTGCATCTTACAGAGCTTGTGATTGTGGGGAGGCTGGTTTAGGAACTGTTCTTGAAACAAAATTTTTGTTTCAGATTTTTTAGTGATTATTGAGCCACACCCCAACTTGGAGACTCAGTAGCAAAGAAGTCTGACTCAGTATTTATGACAAAGAACAAGCCGGTTTTGTCTGGATGTTCAAAGTTACACCTCACAGTGGTTGTGTATACGCTAGATTTTTTTCAGGAAGGATTTATTACGTCATCAGTGTGATCCCCTTGTGCAGAGATGTGGCAATTAAAACCAATGCTTGAAATAAAGTTTCTGTTGACATAGCTTCTCCCCCGCCCCCATCTTTCAGCTTGTTTTTGTGGGGGCAGGTGTTTGGAGAGGGGCGCTAACCCCTGAACTGACATATACTACAAGAAGGACGTTGAGATGCTGGAGCGTGTCCAGAGAAGGGCAACGAGGCTGGTGAGGGGTCTGGAGAACAAGTCTGATGAGGAG